CAGTGAGCCAAGATTGTGCCACTTCACTCCAGCCTAGGTGACAGAGAGAGATTCCATCTCAAAAAAAAAAAAAAAAAATTACTGTGATCACAAAACCAGTTTCACATAACAGCCATTTTAAAGTGAAAAGTTCATTGGTATTTTGCAATCACTGTTTCATATCTACTTTCTGAATACTTTCATCCTCCCCAAATAAAACTCTGTACCTGTTATGCAGTTGCTGCTCATTTTCCCCTTTCCCCAGTTCCTGGTAACCACCAATCTGGTTTCTGTTTCTCTGGATTTGCTTATTCTGTGTATTTCATATACACGGAATCATAGAATATGTGGCCTTTTGTGCCTGGCTTCCTTCACTTAGCATGTTTTCAGGGTTCATCCATGTTGTAGCATCTATCAGTAACTCATTTATTTATTTATTTTATTTGACAGTAACTCATTTTTTAAATGGCTGAATAATATTCCATTGTATGTATAGGTCACATTTTGTTTATCCATTTATTGTTATTGGATATTTGAGTTGTTTTTACCTTTTGACTATTGTAAATAATGCTGCTATGAACGTTTGTATGGAAGTATCTGTTTGAGTATCTGTTTTTAGTTCTTTTTGGCTATGTACTTAGCAGTAGAGTTTCTAGATCTAATGGTAATTTTATGTTTAACTTATTGAGAAACAACCAAACTGTTTTCCACAGCTGAATGAACCATTTTACATTCCTATCAGCATTGTCCAAGAGTTCCAGTTTCTTTACATCCTTGCCAGCGCTTCTTGTGCTCTGTTTGGTTGATTGAAATATAGTTACTCTAGTGATTGTCAAGTAGTATCTCATTTTGGTTTTGCTTTGCATTTCCCTAATGAGTGATGATGTGGAGCATCTTTTCATGTGCTTGTTAGCCATTTGTAGATCTTCTCTGTAGAAATGTTGTTTATCTTTTTGTTGTTTTAGGTACTGGACAGATATTAAATACATAATTTGCAGATACTTTCTCCTACTCTGTAGGTTGTCTTTTCACATTCCTGATTATGTCCTTTGTTACACAGAAGTTTTTAATTTTAGTAAAGTCCATTTTATCGTGTTTACTGTTTTATTGCTCATGCTTCATATCTAAGAACTGGGCACATCTTCCCAAATTCAAGATCATGACAGTTTACCCCTATGTTTTCTTCTAAATGTGCTATAGTTTTAGCTCTTACATTTAGAAGTTGTTGGTCCATTTTGATTTTGTATGTAGTATGAGGTAGTCCAATGAGAGGATTTTTTTTTTTTTTTTTTTGAGTTGGGGTTCTCACTCTGTGGCCTAGGCTGGAATGCAGTGGCTTGATTATAGCTCACTGCAGTCTCAAACTCCTGGGCTCAAGCAGTCCTCTCTGTAACTGAGACCACAGAAGTGCACTGGTAAGCCTTGCGCATATATATATATATATATTTTTTTTTTTTTTTTTTTTTTTTTTGGTAGAGACAAGGTCTTGTTATGTTGCCCAGGCTGGTCTTGACCTCTGGGGCTCAGGTAGTCCTCCTGCCTTGGGTCTACCAAAGTGCTGGGATTATAGGTGTAAGCCACCACACCTGGATCTTGTAGTGTTTTTGAACTGAGTATATATACCTACCAACCAAAAACTATTGTGGATTTCATAGTATTTTAAATTATTTTGCATTGTATTAATCTAAGAAGAGCTTGTAAATATATTTGAAAAATAGTACTTGTAAGTTTAAGACAATTTTTAAGTCCATGACCTATATATTAGTGACTGAATATGGATTCATGGATTTCCTTCCCATAACACCATGATCTTCTCTGAATCTACAGATCACAGATTTTGTAGATGAGCATCAGAAGAATCTCTGATGACAGGTGAAACAGGGACTGAGGATGAAGGTAGAGTTTCCAAGGGTCCATAGCTGCAGAGACCTCAAGAAAGAGGCTGGGAAGTCAGTAACTAGAAGGCAGTGGTGAAATCTATTAGAGCAAGAAAGGAAGTGGCATTTCATTTGAGACAAGGATGATTGCAGAGTTTGGTTTGGAGGCTCATGGGTCATCATCAGAAAGTAAAGGTTTAGGAAGCAGTTGAAGATTCTTTTAGTTTTGGATATAATGCCAACTCAACTCAGCCTTCAAACAGGGCGTCCAACTGACTGTGTTTAGCATCTTTCCTACAGAGAGGGGTAAGTAAGGAAAAGGAACTAGGCAAGTTCTAGATTTTTTATGGTGGCAATCATGGCCAAGGGCCTTTTGTCTTCTGGCCAGCTTTTTCAGTGCTGACAGGCTCATCAGCGACAGTCGTCGTCGTCTTTTTTTTTAAAGTCTTTTTGTCACCTTGTCAGGTCTGTGTGCAAAGGGCTCTAGCAAAAGGAAGAAGGAGGGGATAGATAGGGCAGGAGACTGAGCATCTGAGGGGAGTGTAGAGATAATGGTCTTCAGATGCCCTTTTGCTTTTACTGGCTGATTGTCTGCTTTTTCAGATAGAAATGAAAGCCACTTTACAAGAAATGATTTGGGAAGGCATAAACAAAGAGGAGATTTTGGTTACTTTGATGTTTGTGGTGTTTAAACTGAATTTGTGTGGATATGTGTTTTTGAATTTTTAACCCACCACGAAACCTCTGTGATTTAACAGGTGCTACTCGTGAGCAGTAGTCGCCATCCAGACAGATGGATTGTCCCTGGAGGAGGCATGGAACCCGAGGAGGAGCCAAGTGTGGCAGCAGTTCGTGAAGTCTGTGAGGAGGTATGCACAGAGAAGAGACGGCACAGCTGTGCCTCGTAATCATGAACCCATCCTATCTGTGTAGCTCTTTAATATATCAGCACTCACTGAGTAAACATACAATCACAGAAAAAGGGCAGTGAGTGGTTACCTGGTGCCTTCTTTATTACCAGGTGACGGAGTTGTGACATGGTAATATTAACCAGGCCTTCTATGCCAAACCGTTTTTTGTGACTTCCCATGGATTTCTTCCAACACCGCCTGTTACCTGTGGCACAGAATCAAAAAGCAAATAGTTCCTCACCTCTAAGGAATAAGAGGAACAGGCAGCATTAGTATAAATGACTCTTTGTCATTAAGTTTTGGAGGAGGTGCTTCCTGTATCCTAGCCATGGAACTGTGGCTAAAGAAATGATTCTGTTAGCCAGATACTGTTAATGGTACAACTTGAGAGATAATAGTGTCTTCTTTTTTATTTAGTCACATGATGTTCCACATATGTGTGTTGAGTTCCTGGGCCATGATATGCTACTGGATACTCCAGAATAAATAGAAGAAGTAAAGTCATGGACCCTTAGTTCTCTTATTTCAAGAATTTACAGTCTGGGGGAAACTGAGAAACAGATTGCAACTGAAAACCCAGAGAAATGAACGAATGTTTTTCCATAGCCTCTTCTGGTGATACCTTGCTCTGCTCTGCTTATCTCATTTAGGACTCGTAACTTGGTTGTATAAGCTTTATTGCCCCAGTTTACTCACCCTGGCCACATAGGTAGTGCTTTTGAAATCCATTTCCTTGTTCTAGAGGGAATTTAAGATTGATTCTAAGAACATACAGAAAAGCACTTACAGAAAAAACAAGTCTAATTCCTATGTTTCTTTTGGATTCAGCTTTTGGTGAAGGGCTCCTTAGAATAATCTTGGAATATCCAAGGAATTCTTTCCTTGCTCTGAATTTCTACATTTACATTGGCTTATTTCACTCTCATTGTAGCATCTGTCTTCTACCCATAACTAGATTATTCCCTCTGAGGGCAAAAATCATGTTTCCCATCAAAAACTTTTCCCCCTACTTTTCTTGCCTAGTACACAGCTAGGTGAACAGAAGGTAATTAATACATGCTTCTTTGATAGATGGAACAGTGGTTGGAACAATGCAGATGCTGAAGAAATCCCCTAGATGGAAATGATGAGAGTATAGAAAGTGATAAACATTGAGAAGAGGATGTGAGAAGGCATTCTTACAGTGGGTGGTGAGGAGGCTAACCTGGGTAGAACCAAATGGAGTCAAGAGGGGGTATAGTGAAAATAACATTGATTTGGGAACCCTGGTTTCTATTAGTGTCAGTTCATAGCTGTGTAACCTGTGAGAAAATAACCTTAAACACCCTAGACCTTTGTCCTTCATTTGATTGATCTTCCTGTTTACTCCATCATGGAGGGAGTGGAGGGGAATGTGAGGTTCAAATGAGAACATGAGTGTGAATGTCCTTTGTGAATTATGTATCACGCTACCAGTTAGGATGTGTGCAGCTGAAAATAATATTATGCCCGTTACTGTTCGGGAACAGGTTTATGATATCACATAACAAGAAGTCCCAGGTTGGCTGAGTCAGCAGTATTTAGAGCCCAGGTGCTTCCTGTCTTTCTATTCTGCCATCCTTGGTACATTTTGCCCTATAACGGCAGAGTTAAGTAATTGTGAAAGAGACTGTATGGCCTGTATAATAAATTTTTTCTCACTCTGAAATTATATATTATCTATCTGTTCTTTTTTAGACTAAACATATATTGGCACATTCCAATATAAGTTAAATTTCTAACAAACATTTAATCTTCTCTTATTGGCCATGCTTTTCAGTTACTTTTAATTAAAGTCTAAGAGGTTTCTCAAAGTCATATCTTAGATGGCGAAGGCTCTAGTAGTTTAAACATGGAGCTGACATTCCCTTTGCCAGCAAATTTAAGCATAGCATATTTATGTCGAACCATAGCCTCTTGTGACAGCATGCTCTGCTTTGCTTGTTATGTCATTTAGGACTCATAGCTCAGTTGTATAAGCTTTATTGCCCCAGTTTACTTGCATATGCTTAAGTTGAACCATAGCCTCTTGTGGTGACACCATGCTCTTTGATGGGAAACGTAATTTTTGCCTTCAGAGAGAATAATCAAGTTACGGGTGTAAGACAGATACTACAATGAGAGTGACATAAGCCAATGTAAGTGTAGGAATTCAGAAATGAGGAAAGAATTCCTTGGATATTCCAAGGGTAAGATTATTCTAAATATAAGTTTAAGCGTAAGCAGTGTATAGGGTACATTTACTTTTGTTTGCGGGCTTGTCTCCTTGTGGTGACAAGATGGCTATCACAGCTCTATCCTTACACATTCTTTTCAAATGCAGGACACACAGTTTTACCTCCTGGGTCTCTCTTTATTTGAGAGAAAAGAAACCCTCCCCAGAAGGTCCCCCAGCAGACTCTTTATGTCAGTGTTCCAGAGTTGTTTTGCATGCTTATGATTAAACTTCCTGGCAAAGGGAATGTCAGTTCCATGTTTAAACTACTAGAGCCTTCACCATCTAGGATTTGACTTTGAGAAACCTCTTAGACTTTAATTTAAAGCAATTGAAAAGCATGGCCAATAAGAGAAGATATAATGTTTATTTTGTTAGAAATTTAACTTAGATTGGCAAGTGTTAATATATGTTTACTCTAAAAAACAATTGATTGATAATATGTAATTTTAGAGTGAGAAAAACTTATTATACAGGCCATACAGTCTCTGTCACAACTACTTAACTCTACCATTGTAGGGCAAAAGTAGCCATAAACGGTACAACACATAAAAAAATGGGCCTAACTGTGTTCCAGTGAAGCCTTATCTATGAGAACTGTGGTGAACCATAGGTAATCCCTTGTTTAAGCTCTTGCTACTCACAGTGTGGTTGGTGGATCAGCAACATCAGCATCAGCCAGGCTTGTTAGAAATGGAAAATCTCTGACCCCAACCCAGATGTACTGTGTCAGAATCTGATTCTAACAGGGCCTCGGGTGATTTTGAGAGCTTGCTGCATTAGAGTATTGAATTCTTACCAATGAGTGTTCTGAGAATTCCTCCTGATGGAGCTCTGGAGAGAAATGCTCTTTGAGGGTTAGACTGTGGTTTGGTGGTCTCCACACCTCTTCCAATACTCTTCTCACATGGAGAGACTGGAAAGCTAAAAAGTACTTTTCCTATACTCATATAAAGAATGCAACTAAGTCTCCTTGATGATACTTAGTTATCCCCAGTACAAAGCACTTATACAAGATTGCTTTAGTCACAAGGAGGGCATGTTCTGAGAGCAGCAGGCCCATCTGTTTTGGTGGCACCCGTTTAGACAAAGGAGATACGGCTTTGGCATTGGCAGCTATAATGTCAACTTCCTGATTTGGCTGGTGGCTTTAATTTGGCAGCTTCCTGATCCATCCCAGAAGCAGCAACTAACTCCCTTGGCAGTCCAGTTCTGCAATGTGGTTTCGAGAATTGTTCTTGGAACCTTGGCCTGTGTTTCTTGAGTTCTCCTAGTGATTCTGTAAACTGTTTGTATCCCTTAATAAATCACTGTCTTAAACTAATCAGGTTGGATTCTGTTGTCTGCAATTAAGAATCTTGACCCATCAGATTCCCTGTGAATGATAACAGTTGCTTTAGTTGTATCTGACATTCTTCTCTGCTTGGCTGGGCTAACCCATCAAGGATTGAGATGTCTTTGCAAAGCATCCCCCTCTAGGGAAGAGTGTCCAGTGGCCCGTGAGAGAGCTGTCTGATCTACAGTGGGTCAGTAATTTAATCAGGCAGACCTGTTTCTGTGGGAAAGTGAAGCTGTGGCAGAATCCAGTTCAGAATCTATACCTTCCTCATAGCTGTTTACTGATTTAATGTTATCTGTACATTCAGCAAATACTGAGCACCCATCTGTCTTGTGCAAAGCACCGGGCCATAAGTTGAGGATACAGAAATTTGGGTTTTTCCATCATCACATGAGCTTAACGTCTCACTGAGAATACAGAGTTAATAGGAAACTATTATTTGAAAATTGAACTTTGAGGGAACAGTTTGTACAGCATGCCAGGGGACTTGTTGGCAGAGTAGCCAGCCAACTCTGGCACGAAGATTGGCTCCTAGGAGAATGTCTGGATGGTTATAGACCTGCTCATTTAAGATTTTGCCATTTTGGAGGGACTTTGGGGATGCCATAGGTAGTGTAATCGTGGTCTTATATATGATATCCCCACATAAGGGAGATTAGATAGAGAAGGGATGAAGTAGCTGGTGAGCTTTTCTTTACTCTGAAGCAGAATTGGATTCCTACTTTACTGTTGGACCTGTGTTAATGGGGAATTAGAAGGATATAGACACGTTCTGAAGGGCAGGTAGGATTTTGTACTTTGCATCCCTAGGCCTGAGAGCACCAGAACCTTTGCCTGGCTCTTTCTGTAGGAACTCAGAGTTTGACTGTTCAAATAAGTGTGGTAGGGCCAGTTGCTGGACCTAAACTGAATAATTCTGATTTAAATCCAGTTGGCCTCTGTAGCTTCTAAGGTGCTTAAGGCAAAAATGGTGTTTGAGAGTGACCATGAAGTTGTGGATTCAGACAGATTGTTACAAGACCTGAAACTGAGTGATGATTCTAGAGTAGAGAGAGAGGAAAAGTTCAAAGGTCTTGTGCAAAGTCTTGATACTTGGCTTTGGGAGTTGTGGTTGGAATATCTCTGGCAGTTCTACTTTTGTAGAGCATATTTGGATTTGCTGTCTGATTCAGGAAAGCCGACCTTATTTGTTGTCACTGTTGCTGTTCTGTTTTTGAATGTTACAGTTGAGTTGTTCCTGGGTTATACAAATGCAGCTAAGATGTAGGAAACCAGATGTTTACAATAGAAAATGCACTGAGGGAATAGGAAAGATATAGGGTACTGTGCTTACATTTTGTTTCCTGGAAATTGCATACTATCCTTCTGTAGGTAAAAGGGAGAATA